CAAACAACACAGATCTGAGACATCGTTATTACATTGCAGAGGATTTGAAATACATTCTCCCAGCCCTGCCGGGCATCATTACCTGTCTTCCCACATAGGAAAATCTATTTGCTATGGTGACAAATCAAGCCATAAAAACATAAGCCAACAGACAAATCCATGAACTGACATCTGAGGACCCGCCCAATGTCCGTAATTTTTTCTGCATTCTTGTTGAAAAGCAAGTGGTATCATGCATCTGTCAAAAGTTTAAAAAGAATCATGTACTCTTAAATTACTGTCCTGTATTAAATTGACAGATGATATGATACACGGATTTTTGCTATGTCAAGATAAACCAGCATGTCCTCTTATTGTTACATAGTATCTGGTTACTGCCTTTATCTAACAGGTAACAGGAGTCACTAAGAAAATTATACAAATTGAGGCTGGGCATGGTGGCTCATGCCTGTAATCCCAGCACTTTGCGAGGCTGAGGCAGGCGGATCACCTGAGGTCAGGAGTTGGAGACAGCTTGACCAACATGCAGACACCACATCTCTACTAAAGTGCAAAATTAGCTGGGCGTGGTGGGACATGTCTGTAATCCTAGCTACTCAGCAGGCTGAGGCAGGAGAACTGCTGGAACCCAGGAGAGGGAATTTGCACAGAGCGGAGATTGCAACATTGCACCCAGCCTGGGCAACAAGAGTAAAACTCAATCTCAAAAAAACAAAAACAAAAACAAAAACAGGCCGGGCGCGGTGGCTCAAGCCTGTAATCCCAGCACTTTGGGAGGCCGAGGTGGATGGATCACGAGGTCAACAGATCGAGACCATCCTGGTCAACATGGTGAAACCCCGTCTCTACTAAAAATACAAAAAATTAGCTGGGCATGGTGGCGCGTGCCTGTAATCCCAGCTACTCAGGAGGCTGAGGCAGGAGAATCGCCTGAACCCAGGAGGCGGAGGTTGCGGTGAGCCGAGATCGCACCATTGCACTCCAGCCTGGGTAACACGAGCAAAACTCCGTCTCAAACAAAAACAAAAAAAAAAAAAAGAAAAAGAAAAGAAAATTATACACATTAAGACAGTCCTAGTATTCAGTTGGCAAATTATTATGACAACTGAGATTATTCTTAGTAAATTTATTATTATTGCTATTATTAGAGGTCTCCCTGGAGAAACTACATTCCCGTGAATGGCATGGAGACCCTTGTTAACCAAAACGCGTCTCCATGCTCACACTGTTGTGCATTTCAAGGGTTTAGAGTTGAGCTGTCTGTATATTGTTGGTGGGAAGAAAGGTATCAATGAATAACAATCAATCTGTTAAATATTTTTATCTCAGGAAAACATAGTCCTGAGTTTCAAAGCCTCGCAATACGGAACATGTAAGTCATCTGCATATTCAGATCATGATCTACAGTTTATATACAATTACAATTTTAATTTCTCTGAAAAGCAGCCCACCCTTGTAGAGATCCCCCAGCTGTAGAATTCGGAGGTCTCCAGCATCCCGTAAACTTTGTCCCTGTTGGCCTGTGTTTGACAGATATTATCATCTGCCACCAGGCTAATCATTCAATGTGTATCCAAAGAACTAGCTCTCACCAAAAGAACTCGTATTAAAATGCAAATAGGTGTTTCCCACTTCACTGGCTTAGCGGTGGCAGGCTGTTAACAGCTTTCTGACAAGAGAGAGAGAAGCTAAATGAGGTGGTGCCTTAACCTTCTGGGTGTACGGAGCGCTGCACACCCACCTCCAAGCCACAGGTGCTGCCACCAGCCTGTGGCTAGTCATTTCTGTGCCATGACATTTATGAGTTAACTCACAGAAGCTGCCGAAGAAATCACGGAACAAAAAGGCTTGATTTCAGATTCTCCCTCTGTGTCTAGCCAGCTCTCACTTAGACTAATTACTTAAATGATTTTAAAAATGTATGAATATTCATGTGTCAGCGCTTTGCGAAACTAAAGCACAGCTGAGACCTCTCCAGGAGCCCTTCCTCCTCCCCGATCTGGAGCGACCTCACTCGCACATCTGAAAGCCCTGGCTGGGCAGCTTCAGAGAACCACATCCCAGTGGGGAAGGGCAGGCCAGAGCAGCGGGCCCCCAGCCCCACTGCCCGACCTGCCTCCACCCCCACCCTTGGCCGGATGGGGGACTGTTCTTATTGGAGCAAGTCTGTCTGGTTTTAAACAGCTGGAAGCTGATCTGCCCTGGGGAGCAGCAGCCCGCACGTTTCTTCCCTTTTCACGCCACTGTCACACACTCGCTGTGAACCGACAGGATGTGTGATATGGAGGTCCAGCAAATGCAGGTGACAGGGGAGGTGCCCCAGCATTGATTGTCCCAGACCACGTGGTGACCAGGGGAGGTGCCCCTGGGATTGTCCGGACCCCGTGATGACTGGGAGAGGTGCCCCTGGGATTGTCTGGGACCCTGTAGTGACTGGAGGAGGTGTGGCTGGGATTGTCCAGGACCATGTGGTGACCAAGGGAAGTGCCCCTGGGATTGTCTGGACCCCGTGATGACTGGGAGAGGTGCCCCTGGGATTGTCTGGGACCCCGTAGTGACTGGAGGAAGTGCAGCTGGGATTGTCCAGGACCATGTGGTGACCAGGGGAGGTGCCCCTGGGATTGTCCGGACCCCGTGATGACTGGGAGAGGTGCCCCTGGGATTGTCTGGGACCCTGTAGTGACTGGGAGAGGTGCCCCTGGGATTGTCCAGGACCCTGTAATGACTGGGCGAGGTGCCCCTGGGATTGTCCGGACCCCGTCATGACTGGGAGAGGTGCCCCTGGGATTGTCCAGGACCCCGCAGTGACCAGGGGATGTGTCCCCGGGATTGTCCAGGACCCCGCAGTGACCAGGGGATGTGTCCCCGGGATTGTCCAGGACCCCGCAGTGACCAGGGGATGTGTCCCCGGGATTGTCCAGGACCCCGCAGTGACCAGGGGATGTGTCCCCGGGATTGTCCAGGACCCCGCAGTGACCAGGGGATGTGTCCCCGGGATTGTCCAGGACCCCGCAGTGACCAGGGGATGTGTCCCCGGGATTGTCCAGGACCCCGCAGTGACCAGGGGATGTGTCCCCGGGATTGTCCAGGACCCCACGGTGACCAGGGGAGGTGCTCTGGGATTGTTTAGCAGTGTGCTCTGGTCTGACATCCATCCGGTGGTGCTAGGCCTGAGAAGCCACAGACCCTGGCTGGAGTGCCCTGAGGGAGCAGCCCACTTCCCCACGTCCAAGACAATGATGGTAGTCTTAGGGCAGCCTGGGAGAGCCAGGGTTCCTTACAGAGTCAATCCCATGACCTCGGATATTCCCAGAAATCATCCAGTATCCCTACCAGGACTCTGGGCTGATTTACCAGCCTTCTTTCAGTCCAAACCCTCACCTCAAACATGATTGATTCTGATGTATTGGGACCAAGCTCTTTCCACTGCAGCACTAAGTGGCACGTGACCACAAAACACACCCCACATGGCCACTGTCATTGGCTGAGGCAGACACTTGTTAGAAACGAGGAGACAAAAAACGTGATGCATGTGTTTAAACCACTGTATACAAGGTTTTATATTTCACCATTTCTCTCACACGCTGAAAACTCTGGATAGGGGCCCTGGGGGAAAGAGAATGAAACATGAAGGCAAAGCATGATGCGCGGTTCCATGGTGGGAGTGACAACGGAAGTTACAACGATAAGAAATAACAGAACTCAAACACCCACAGACAGGGTGGAGGATTTCATCAACCTGTGCTGCAGCCTGGGTGTCTGCAGGAGAAGGACATGGCTTCCCCCTCTCAGGTGGCCTGGGCCACACCCAGACCAGCATCCCAGTCTCCACCCAGGAAGAGCCCCCACCCGCCTGATGCTAAACCATCACCTTTTGACTCTGGAAATGCCAAGGGTCCAAAGTCTGATATTTTGGATAAAACTGAAGCTTAAGATTTTCAAATGTACAGTCACTGACTTTCCCATGGACACATCTATGTATTGTATGCCGACTGAATGACATAGGAAAAGGTTTTAAAACTTTGTCATACCTCTATTGACCACCAAATGATGGAAACTGAGTCTTCGATAGAAGTTCCAAGTTAACCCTGTATTCACTTTGTATTTTTTAACTTGTGGGCAAGAGCCTTTCCAGGGGATGTGATGAAGCTTCTGAGGCCCTGAGTATACAGAAGCCTTTCCCTTTCGGCTCCTAGAGTCACGGGGCGGCATCATCTCACCAGGTGGGAGCAGACCTGGGCTGGGCCGTGACCCAAAGGCATGTTCCTGGGGTTGGTTGTGTCCCGAGTTCCTGAGGCTGACTCGTTTTCTAGCCAGTTTGCCTCTTTCTACTGAAAGCAGACCTCCAAATCAAAGCTGTGGTTCATTCAGAGTCCCCATTCACAGGGTCAGGTGCGTACACATTCTCTTATTCTCTCTAATTAGACCACTGGAAAATATCACATAAATGCTGCTTTCACTAATTCCCAACACAGTCAATAAATCACAGGCTCAGGAGCCCCGCTTCGCTGCATGCTCTAAACATGAGACTTGGGCTGAAAGTTAAATAATCACACACTGGTGACCATCACTCACCACAGCAATGACCCCACACACTCTCAGGCTGAGCCGCCCACTGCCGGGAAGGGCTCCCCAGCCCCACTCAGCCCGTGGCTCACTGGCACCCCGGGCGGAGGCACTCAGAGCCAGTAAGCCTGTCGGCATGTGTTACCTCGCAGGAACTGAAGAAAACACGTTAACCCAGAACAAGAAACCATCATGAAGAAAATATCTCAGTCTGATGGTAATGCCAACTCTTCTTCAGAGCTGAGCTGCTCATTCCTAATGCCCATCCCGCCCTTTGCTTCAGTTATGTTATTCACGCTCATTTCAAACAGCATGCAGAACGCGTCCTCCACATTCGCGGTTCTCTCCAACACGCTTCATGCCAGATTGTCGCCAGCCACACATCTGTGAGCCGCGTGGCCATGCCCACCCCAGGCAGCACGTCAAGTACTCACCTTCTGGCTCCCCGCAGAGCGTGCACTGCGACTCTGAAAACAGAGACAGAGAGAAGCTGTTACAACAGGGGACTCAACCATGCGGTTAAAACGTTTCAGCAGCAGCAATAACAAAACTACAACCTTGAGGCGATGTGGCCGGGCCACGCGACGATGCGGCCGGGCCATGCAACAATGCGGCCAGGCCACGCCAGTGGCTCCTCCGTAAACACAGCCGGCTCTGACCTGCACGCCAGCAACCGCTATTTCAACCACAACCCTTGGCACATGTTTTACAATTTTATTTTTGAGAATTAAAAAAATTTTTTTAAATTTTAAGTTCTGAGATGCGTGTGCAGGACGTGCAGGTTTGTTACACACATATACGTGTGACGTGGTGGTTTGCTGCACCTACCAACCTGTCATCTGGGTTTTAACCCCCGCATGCATTAGGCATTTGTCCTAATGCTCTTCCTCCGCCTGCCCCCCACCCCCCAACAGGCCCTGGTGTGTGATGCTCCCCTCCCTGTGTCCCTGTATTCTCACTGCTCAGCTCCCACTTAGGAGTGAGTGTTTGGTCATAACGGCCTCTCTGTCACATGCACACAGCAAACACACTTTCTTCATTGTATATGGTTAAATGCAAACTACCTAGATGAAGCAAAAATGAATATTTTATCACAATTTCAATATTGAAATCTCGACTTTGGCTACAGCTATTCTGTCTCCTTTCAGGCACAAAATTCATGAGCAGAAGTGTATTATTAGATTTCAGGAAAGCTCTGGAATCCCTGGGTACTGACTGAGTCTTCTTTAAGAAGGTCCATGAGTGACTGTGAATGTCGCTCTGCCTGTAGGATAGACACAGATACTCTGGGAGCACGGCATTTGCAATTCATCCTCACACAGGAGAGCTGTAGCAAGTGCATCATCAGCACAGGCACAAGGGCTTTGTGGGAAAGAATTCAGACTTGGGGGCCACGTAGGCCTGGGTTCAAAGCCAGCTACCATCCACTCTCCTGAGAACGTGTGGGCAGGTGACCTAACCCCCTAGCCCTGATCTAGTGTCGAGGCTTCTGAGGTCACAGGGGTGGGAGGGGTGAAGGAGTACATGTGTCAGCTATCAAGGCCATGGGGACAGTGCTGCCCGCATGGGCCCCCTGGAAGACACCGACTCCTCCACACCAGCCACAGCGGTGCACCCTCTGCCATCCAGGTGACAGCTGGGCCCACAGAGGAGACGCCACGTGATGCCATCTGGGCTGGACCCCGAAGGACTAACAGGATTTTAAATGGGAATCTGGGGAGGGAGCACAGACATCCCAGGAAGGGCATGAACGAGACGAGCAGGCAGGGGATGGCAGCAGCATCTGCCCGGAGGGACGGCACTGGGGAGGCAGGGAGGCAGGGAGGTGAGTGGAGAGCGTTCAGGAGGGAATGGAATGTCGCAAAAGGGGTTGAGGTTTTCAAAATAAACGTTAGGAAGCAAAAGTCGTTTTTGGGGCAGAGCCTCACAGGGGCTCATGGTTCCTTCAGAAGGTCACCTTGGTGGCTGGGCTGGGTGGGCAGGGACAGAGCCCACACAGGGCCCATGTGTTTGCGGCAGGTCTGGCTCTGTGGGAGAGTGGGAGAATGTTCTGGCGGAAAGAAAAGAATATGAACTGTCATTTAAAACTGACTGACTGAGCTCTCCAGACTTCAGGGAGACAGAGCCACATGCCTCAAGCGGACACTTCTGGTCGCACCTGCCTTCACGGGCACCGGTGGAGCAGAGGGGAGAGAAGACTTTGGGGGCTGCAGGGAAGACCTCAAGGAGCAGCCCTCGGACACAGGAGCCCTGGGCCCATGGCCACGTGGTTCAGTATGAGAGTAATGGCCAGGTACTGGTCCACACACAGGGCTACCTCCATCCCGGCCACCACCACCAGCAAAGCCTGTGGAGGATGCAGGGGCTCCTGTCACTGAGGACACATGGGCAGCCAGCGCAGGCTGGGGCCATCCCATCACTGCCATCACTGAAGCAGACCTCAGGTTTAGTTAACCCAGAAACGCAGGCACCACCTTCATACATTCTGCAGAAAGTGGGAACGGAGGGACTGGTGACTCAGTTTCCCTTCAGGTTCTAGGGTGAGACTCCCTGTACTGGCATCCAGCCGCAGGAGGCGCGGGCACGACTGGGCCCTTATGCACACACAGAGTGCTGGGCTGGAGAGACTGGATGGGATGGCCGGGGAGTGAGGCCAAGGAGGAAATGCCAGGAGCAGGCTTGGCAGGTGTGCAGTGTGCTGCCAGGACTGGGTTTTGCCGGAGTGAACTACATGGACCAGGGAAGCTGGAAACCAGAAGGAAACAATTCTGCACACTCGGCCTCCAGAAACCTGAAGGGGGTTTCTGGTCTCTTCCTGAGAAGAACTAGGGCAAGAGTCTCCCGGGAAAGAAGCCACTGAGTCATATGGACAAAAAACTGCTTTAAATAAGAGCAAGAGATCCTGAAAGCCTGTTTTAGTATCAAGATGCAAGAAGCTGTCTCAGGCCACAGATCACTTAATTTTCCCCAAACCAAAAGGAAATGTGCCGATGATCACCCTCCATGGTAACTTCATGAGAATCACTCCCAAACCAGAGGTTGTGGGGAGTCCCATGACATAGGAGCCCACTTCATCTTATTTAATCGAGAAGTTTCTAAATGTGACCACTGAGACCTTGGCAGGACACCCAGGAACACAAAGTAAACACAGTGTCAGGAACTGTGGGTTCCACTCTGGCCTCCCACGTGGAGGAGACCACGAGGCTTTGGTGGACCCATCAGAGGCCACACGCCAGGGACAGAGTGGAGTCCTGGATGAGTCCAGGGTCCCTCCAGTGCAGGGCAGACGCTGACTTCACTATGGTGCCTGTGGAGGCACTGATTTCAGGGAAGGGAGAGGCCGACTGAGACCCAGGAGGCTGGGTTCTGTGACCTGCACTCAGCGCCACACCCGCAGTCACACTGGGTCCAACTCGGGTCCCCGGCCGTGGCTGCCTCCCGCTCCAGGCCCCCAGGAGGGACTGGAAGCCTCACGCGGTGGCTCACTCAGACGTGGATCAGGGACTTTGCTTCTGCACCTCTCGCTCAACATGAACCAAAATGTGCATCGAAACTGACCAGCATTTAAGGCTTTCCCCACAGAGCTCATCTTCATCACAGGTCACATGTGCTTAAAATCACCCAGCAAGCTGAAAACACAGCAGGCTCACTAACAGCATCAAGGACCCTTTCCAGGAATTCTTCCCCAAGTAAGAAAATATTCACAATACAGAGGAGAATCAAACTCCATACACTGTGGATTCATCATTAGTGCAGTCTCATTTAAACTAGGGACCACACTGATCTATGCTGATGGACACGGATGGAGAAATCCGCCTGGCGATGCTGTGTGTGAAGCTGTCCGTGCAGCACACACAGCCCCCATGAGGACCGGCTCCTTCCCCAAGCTCCAGATGCGGAGAGCACAAGCCTGGCCAGTGTCTTCTGGCACAAAGTGTGCACCTTATTTTGATCTCCCAGAAAAGAGGAGCCTGCTGCATCTCCTGGGTAAATGCATAAGGTGTTTTATCTCTAGAGGCTACTCTAAGTCTATGCACGTTTTTGGAGAGGCAGCTTTGAGCTCTGTGGCCCAAGCTCACACTCTCTTGGCTTCTGCATGGTGGCGGCCTCCACAGCACCCATCCTCCCTCCTGCCACCAACCCGGGGAGGGGTGCACAGCAGCAGCGGAAGGACTGGGAGATTACAGAGCACTGCAGCTCTCCTGGAGCCCCGAGAAGAAACAGCACACATGGGACCCCCCAGCTGCTGCAGCCACACGTGGTGGACACAGCCTGGGCCCTCGGCCAGAGCTCCTCAGGGCAAGACCGAGCTCAGCGTTGCTGGGGATGGCACCGCGTTCCTGAAGCTGGTTCCAACCCAGCCGTGAATGCAAAGAGCATCCCTGCCCCTTCTACAGGAAGCCAGGTGGGGACAGGCCCGGCGTGGGTGGCATTTGCCGTGGGCCGTGCAGGCAGCAAAGGGGCAGTAGGAGGAGGGCTGGCACTGGGAGGCCCATGGGGGTGCCTAGACGCGAGGCCCAGCATCTGGCTGCTATGACAATTGCACTGATTTGCTGCTTCCCCCATCCTCTGTCCTCCTCTGCCTCCCTCCAGCTGCGACAGTCACTAAGAGAGAGGGAGGGAAATCCACCGACGTCTTTCCTCTTCCAAGTCTCAGAGCACATGGCAGGATGCTCTGCTCTGCTCATTAAGAAAGGCTCCGTGTCCGCAGCCACCTAGAGGCCCCGTGTCCAGCTTCAGCAGGAGCTCTAGATGACAGCAGGCCTGGCAGGCTGCCACAGATATTGCCCAGCCGTGGCACCCGGTGGCCTTGCCAGCACTTCTTACACAGCACTATGCAAAACTATGACCCTTTGTCAAGACTGTGTGAACAGGCACTCACTTGTGCAAGCACACGATATAACAGAACCGTGTGACCACATGACCCAGGACAGCATGACTGTGATAACACAACAGGCCACGTGACAACACGACAGTGTGACAGTGTGATGATGTGACTGTGACACCATGACACAGGACACCATGACTGTGAGAACACAACAGGCCACGTGACAACACGACAGTGTGACAGGGTGAGGATGTGACTATGACACCATGACACAGGACACCATGACTGTGATAACACAACAGGCCACGTGACAACACGACAGTGTGAGGATGTGACTGTGGCCCCATGACACAGGACACCATGACTGTGATAACACAACAGGCCACGTGACAACACGACAGTGTGACAGTGTGAGGATGTGACTGTGACACCATGACACAGGAAACCATGACTGTGAGAACACAACAGGCCACGTGACATGACAGTGTGAGGATGTGACTGTGGCCCCATGACCCAGGACAGCATGACTGTGAGAACACAACAGGCCACGTGACAACACGACAGTGTAACAGTGTGAGGATGTGACTGTGGCCCCATGACCCAGGACACCATGAGTGTGAGAACACAACAGGCCCACGT